GCAGGATTGAGCACAGGGATGGTGTCTGTGAAATGGGGCAAACCAGAGCAGAGCAGTGTCTCTGTCCAGCCTGGGAGCTGAACTGGAAAGAATATTGTGTTATCTTTTGTTTGAAGGCTGCTTCATAAAGCAAGTAGAGATTGAATTAAGGTTGTGCAGGCAGCAAAATCTTGTCGAAATCTCAGCAGTGAAGATCAGCGACTGTTTGTGAATGCAAAACAAACAGGTGCAATAAACTGCAGCAGGTTCAAGCATCCAATAAGGTTACCAAGATAACCAGTATAGTATCATTGAAGCATTCAAACGATGCATAACATTCAGTGAGTGAATGTTGACTTCTGTGAAAACAAATATCTAGATTTATCCTGTGCTTTTCAAAGGATGAATAAACTGTTTCTGCAGAACAGGGGAACAGTATATGGAAAATTTTCTAAATATTGCCATCTAAGTACTTTGAAATATTGGTACAGTCAGCATGCATTTCAAGCATGGTTTTGTTTTTCCTTCTCTCCAGTACTTAAATGTGGGGTAAACCTGCTTTTTCCTTCTGAACATTTTTTGTTCAGAAACCCTATAGCAGCACTTGTATATGCTTTTGCCAAGACATCCCTTCCACATTTCATGATCTGGTTAAAACACTATAAAATGAGATGGTAAAGATATTATTTTACAGTTAATAAGACTGTTAAAAGCAGCTCTGTAGTTGTTGACATAAGCTTAACAAACTAGGTAAACTCTTCCCGATGTCAGTATGGTTGTTCTTTAAGAAAATGAACAATTAAGCCTTACTGATTCATTGCACAGTTTTTTAGTTATTAATGAATCAGGATTTTGGCTTTACGATAACTGTGTTTTGAATATATGTGTGCATTAAATGCTAAGTCAAGAGAAGCAAATTTTTGTGTTACTTCTCGATGGTTTCTTATGTTTCAAAAAGAGAGCAACTATTTATAAACTGTAATTAAGTTTCTTTACAACATGACTCATTCTCAACAAGCAAGTCCTTATTCTTTTGCTTTCTTATGAACTGTGTGGGAAAATTAAGGTTCAATCACTGAAGAATTTACTCAATGCTTAATTACCAAAAACAGCCCTCCAAGTTCTGCTCATGTAGAGCTTTCATAAAGATGTGATTTTTCCCCACACTATGGCTTTCTAAAACTTAACTTTTAAAAAGTGATCTGTAAATTGTAACGTAGGAGAAAGCAGTATTTTACTATGGTATTGGCCTCTTTCTCCAGTCTGCTGCTTTGAGCTCCTCTTATATTAACAGAGTGATGCTTAGGAGAGCTAAAGTAAGAAATCATCAAGATTAAATTTCTTTGAGCATGGAACTGAATTAGAACGCTTTACTTCCCTGAATGAGCTAATTGTTTTAATTTTCTAGAGGAAATGTTTCTATTTCTGTGAGAGAAGGGGTAAATGGGACTTCCTTTGACATAATTTTTGGTTTAAATCTGGGTTTGACAGCAAGATTTTTACCTTCATAACCAGATTTTTACTATTTAACTGCATGACTTGTGTAAGCTTGCTGGCTGAAGTGACTCACTTGCGTAGATTAAGTTATTTTTAGGGAGATAATTTGCACCATTTAGAAGAGAGGAAAAAAAGGAGAGTCCTACTAAGAGCTAGATCCCTCATTATAGCTTACAGAACTCGTGAACCCAGCATCCAAGCAAAAGATGACTAAGCAAGGGGTCTATTGGTACTTTCAGGAATTTACAGACATGAGTCATCTGCTTATTTTCTGCAGACATATCACCAGGGTACTTTGTGAGTCAGCTGTTATTTGGAAATAGTACTTGTATTCAACATGAATACGTTTTTGTAATTCTTAGGTAACTAGCATGCCAAACCAAAGCAGACTTTTATAGTTCGACGAGTTCAGGGGTTGATTTATAAAAGTGGCACATTGGTTTTTAACTGTGATGCATTTTTCATGACAAAGTTTAAATGTTGTCTGAGATATAATAACACTTTTGCCACCTTATGTATCGCATGAAGACAAATCTGATTTTGGATTAATGCACAAACTGAGAGTCAGCCTATACGATCAGGTACAAGGAAACATTTTCTTTATCAACCTTTATCTTTAAAGCACCTTGCTAGTGTTGATTCCCAATGATATTTGCTTGTACAATAAAACGCTTCCCCCCAAATCTGAGCACTCTGTGCACTCAGTGTCAAAGGACGGGCACCCACTGCAACGGAAGTGAGTTCTTGCCTTCCCTTCCTACTGCTGAAATAATAGCTGGCTACCTTGAGATATGTATAACACTTTACAACTCAAGGCTATTTCCTGTTTACTGGTCTTTTAGGTGTGGTTGCATTCCAGAGTTAGGGACAGGTTTTTTTACTTGGTCTGGACTCCTCTCATACCTTGTGTTAAGGAAAATCTTGGTTAGAAAAATGCAAGTTTGGCGATTTTGGCGTGAAGGGTAAATGTTGGAAATCAAAGAAAGGACAAATTTTTCAAAACCCTACTAGCAGTTCAGGATAGTATTGCTGTTGGCCAGATGTGGGATGCACAGTTTTAAATCTGAGTATCTAACAGTTTATAATGTAAGTAATTCCTGAAAATCCCCCTATGGGTCTCAGTTAATAGAGGAAGAAAATGTTATCTGTTATTTTGACGGTACCTTTGCCGGAATAATATTTTTACAAAAGAAAGTCTTCTTCTAACAAGTGGAAGCCTCTCTGTAGTCAAAGCAATGTCTTGATTATCCATTTGAACAGTGTTTCTAATGCTAGATACGATATCTTAAGTGCAAACCTTTAGTTTTAGGTAGCAGGAAGAAAACTACTGCTGTCACGTAAGCAGAGATTTTCAAAGGAAAGTTAATGAAAGTCAGAAGTTCCCAAGTAAAAAGTTAAGGACTAAACTGTTACTCGAGTGTGTTGCTAAAGTTTGTTATTCCTTTCACAAGGTGATAAAATGTGTGAGTATACAGAGTAGTTTTCCTTTAAGGAGTTGGTACTTAAGGAGGGAAAAGATGCACTAAAGGGTCAGAGTTGAAGCACTCAGACCTGGAGAAGTATATTTATAATGTTAAAACGGATTGCCTGTCTCCTTGCTTTATAGTCTTTTTCACAGTGAAGTCCTTCAGAGGCTGTGGCACACATGTACCATCTGCGTGGGGAGGAGACAGCCGCCTTGCTGATAAACGGCCTTGATACACCAATGTTTTTCAGGGTTGCTATTTAATAATCACGTTATAAAGAGGAATTTGACAGAGCAATCTCTGAATCTAACCTTTGTTACAGCAATGATCTGCCCTCAAATTAGAAGAACTCTGCCCATGTCATTACCACTTAAATTATCTGCTGGAAGCTGCTGTGTGAGCTGAGTCACCAGGACTCCGGGAGTTATCACGTGTAGCTCAGACTATGGGTCATGAACTGAGCGAATGCTGTTGTCCACGGTGATTTGTTGTAATTTGAGACTATGGCTGGAATATCACATTCGGTTTTGTGTGGCTGCAAACAGTTTTACTCATAGAGCGAGGATAATTTAGGGAAAAAGGAGCTATGGTGTGGCTGGTGCACATCCAAGTATTCAAATGTGATTAGGAAAACTGAAAAATGAAGGAACAAGCAGGATGATAGCGTGGAATTTGGAAAAATTAAGCCTATCTTACACAGATATCTCAGTCTATGAGCAAAGATTTCAAAGCAAGTGCTGGAATCTCTGTTCCCTGAGGTATTTAAAAGTAGAAAATACAGTGCATTACCAAGCATAGTGGAAGGGAAATGCTGCTCTGCCTAAAGATGAGTTTATTCCTGAAATGTTCCTTTTGCTTTCTTCGGTTTCTGTTTGTACTGATCTTTGCCACCTGCTTTGATTCCTACATCAGCTATTACAATCTGGTTATTAACTTAGGAGTCTTTCCTTCTCTTGAAAAAGGGCTGTGAAGTGACAGAATACTGAGAACCTTGGCTTAGATGAATGAATTATAATCTTATTAATTTATTTCACTCATTGCTACACCAATAAGAGAATATATTTAAGATTTACAGGGAGTTACTGTTCCATGCAGTGTTCTTTTATTGTGCAGAATTAAAGAATTTTGATTTAGCAGATAACAAAACGTACAGTGGTAGGTGCTTTATAGATGAAGTCTACACCTTTGAAAGAAATGCTCATTCTTCTGTCAATTTTGGTGTTAGACAAGTCTGTTGTCATAACTCAATTTAACCACAGTTTTCTGCATCCTCCTGAAATTAAAAGCAGACCAAGAAAAACTAAACTATAACAACAAAAAAGTTAAAAAACAGTTTCTGACCAAATGCTGGAGACTATTTTATTGTTCTACCAGACCTAGCTGATCATGAGACAGCGATAAGCAAAGGGAACTAAGAGGTTCTGATTTTTATTTTTAGTGAGATATTTTGGGTATTAATGACTTGGCAGTGTGTTTTGGTTTTGTGGGATTTTTTTTTTGTCTAGCAGATGACGGCAAGTTGAGACCTTTTCCATTTCATGTGACTGAATCTTAGTACATCCTTTATAAAATCATTTAAGCACTTTAAGTCTCAGCTGTAAAATGAGAATGATAGTCCTCTTGATGTCCATGGGGCACTAAAATGAATAAGCATTCAAAGCAGATGAAGAGAAACTTGTTTCTTGAATGGAAAGCATAAACAGAACGTATTTTGTGAATTCTGGAAAGGGAAGGTTTCACTGTAAAGAAAAATAACTGTTATTTTTTCTATAACAAAATACTCATGGTGTAATACGTTATGATTAACACAGAAATACACCAGCTAAGCAATTTTTTAAATTAGATACTTTAAAAAATGTTTTGATAAAGCAAAGTGTCCTATACAGCGTGTGTTGGAATCATTACTTACAAAAAATACAGAAATATATTTTAGAAGTAATCATTGATTTATTCTCTTCTGTCACCTTTAAATCAATAGAATGGACTTACATATTCCTATTAAAATAAAAGAAAAAAATGCATTGGTGTATTTTATGGCCTTTTCCTTTTTAATTTCAGTTGACCTACCCCTGTACTTTCCTCGAGACCAACCAACCCTAACATTTCAGTCTGTCTACCACTTCACTAACAGTGGCCAGCTGTACTCCCAGGCCCAGAAGAATTACCCTTACAGCCCCCGCTGGGATGGCAATGAAATGGCCAAGAGAGCAAAGTAAGTCAGATTGCTGTTTCCAACTAAATATTCCATTTGTTACACAGTTGTATGGATTTCACTGTACCTTTGTAGATTTAACTGTATGTTTCCAGCATTACAGAAGCTGGACCTGGTTTTGTTCACATATAGTCCTAGCATTTCCATATATGAGTGTCGACAGATACTTTATTAATCACACTTACTACATTAGTGCCAGAGGACTGATGAAAAGTCTCTTTCTGCGTGGTGTCGTGCGGGCACAGAGCGATGACAATCCCCGCTCCAAAGAGCTTCCAATCTAAGTAGACAAGATAGCCCCCGGCAGCAGTAATCTGCATGGTAGCAGTTCAGTCAAGGTAACTCCATGGTTTTGTGTGGGTGTTGAAGGGACCCTGAAGGAAAGCGTGTGAGATGGAGAGAGCAAGGAGGAAAAACCTGAAAGATATGAAATTAGGTTGTAATAAAAAGACATGGAAGAACAGGAGGAGGTAGAGCAAACCACCAATCTGGCATAGGAGGCAGTCCTATCAGAGCTTGAGAAAGTTACCTGAATATCTCTTGGGGTTTGGTTTTTTTTACTGCTTTTTCTGTTGGCTAGAAGCATAGAATCTCTGACTCTTTCCTTGGCAGTTTTTCTGCAAGACTTTTTTGCAGACTGGGAAGGCGCTGGTTCAGTCCAAGTATCCCCTTTAGTTCAAGGTGACAGGACAGCCTCCCCAGAGCGGTGCTGCTGCAAGGGCAAGCTGCTGTGGGCAGTAGTGTCCCTCTTGTACACTAGAGATTCTCCCTGTCTTCTAATGAAGGAAAACAGATTTTACCTGAATGGAGCAATATGTGCAACAGCCTTGGTGAAATATTTTGATTTTGTGAAGTGTAAAAATGTTAGAACAACAAGAGATTTAAGCAGGCTGATTGTCAGTCGTTCAGCCTGTAAAGGCATCAAACCGCATAAAGAACAAGGCGTATTGGGATGAACGCTTTGAATGACAATCAGGAGATTAAATTAGCAAAGATGCGTAAATAGGAGTCGAATGAAAATAGTTCAAGCTGAGTAAATCAAATGAATGGCATGGTCAGAGAGTGATTGTAATTTGGAAATGATGGAAGCAAACAGCAATTGACTGAAGTACTTATAGACTTTATACTAATTTAAATTTTATGGAGAACATCAAGTAACATTTAAATTTGGATTTTGATGCATTGGAATAGAATTTTTTTTGGCTGATATTTGGCCTTACTACCATACTGTCTATGAAAGGCATTTCTTGATAAAATATGTGGGTGGTTTTTTGTGGACTTGCTTCTTCTCTCTAGCACAATATTATGAGTATTTTGTTTTTTTGAAAACATGAAACAATAACTGGAAGCATTACTGTGATGTTTTTTATGACTATGCCTCAAAATGCATTTCTTTTGCTGCTGAAAGCTTACAAGTAGCTATGTGCTATCTGCTAAGTGAGTTCTTTTATGAGTGGGCGTATGTAAATGGTCTTCTCTGCCCTGCACTTGAAATTTAGAAGTATTATAACCATTCTTTTCAAAAGTACTAAAAGTGTACACTTACTATCACATGTACGTTTTGTGAGGTTATTCACTCTTATGTTTGAGGCTTTGCATTTCAGTTTTACACTGGATACGTAATATGAGAAAGATGATGAGAAGCGGGGGAAGGAAATATGCTGCAATGTCTGAAATAACTATCATTAAGCTGCAAAGAGCCAGAGAAGCTGCTCTAGTTAAAAGCGCTTTGCTTGCAAGAACAACTAGTGATTCCTGAGTAGGTACCATAAATAAATCTGTATCAAGAAAAGTATGATGTTATGATACGTGTTAGCGTATTTAAAGAAAGATTTTTAACACAATTGAGCACCTTATGTAAACAGTGTTTAAAATATTTGCTAGGGCTTCTTAGAATAGGTTAGTGTGCTTTGACACAAACAAACAACTTTTCATTCTACTTTATTTTTATTGTAGACACATTATGGACCAAGTATATGGGAATAAATGTGGATATGTAGCAGAGTGTTGTAATTAAATATACTAGTTCAAGCACCATGTCAAAATGTTCCAAATAAAAACTGAAAAGAAAGATACATGATTTAACCTCCAGGAGCAATGTAATTCTGCTCAGCTGAAGTAAATTTAGCTCTGGATAAAATCAGAGACAATTTGTTTGTACTTCTAAAGACTGTCTATTAGGTTTTGCTTACATGTAGTCTTTTTCCTTCTTAGCCAAATGGTCTCCCAAGTGCTTGGCATCCTTCAAGACAAAACAATTCTGTTTATCTTTCCTGGCCCTACTGTTCTGGGGCCGCAGGATCTCCCACTTGACGTCCTGGTGTCCGACCAAATTCTCCACCCTTATTCTCAGACACTTGAGGGATCAGTTTACACCATCTTCCTCACTCTATCTTAAGACACCATCAAGGACAGATTTTCTTGCTTTTGCAAGGGTTTATTCGCTGTCCAGTCATGTATTGAATGAAGCATATATACTACATTGAGTTATAGAATGTAGAATCACCAAGGTTGAAACACAATCACTGGGAGGTTTCCTCATCCTCGATTTTGGCGAGCCCTGCCTCTGTTTTCAGCAACTCAACAGAGCCTGCTTATTCATGGGCGGAGCTGTCATAAGTTCGTGCCAAAGGGACTTTGATTCTGTGCCCAGACTTCTCCCAGGGTTGGTTGTTTTTTTTGTTTTGGTTTGGTCTGGTTGTGGTTTTTTTCCAAACCAGCGATCCCATCCAATTCCTTCAACTCAGGGGCTAAACTTGAAAGTCTTGGTACCCTTATCTTTCTTGCCCCCAGCAGAGGTAAGCAACTCTTTTGAAGTTAGACTTAACCCTTTGCTGTAGCCTTTAGACAATCAGTAGTAATTAGAAGTATGAGCAAAATTACTTCCCTAAAATACATACATATAGATTATATTCATTCACACTAAGACACACATCACCTAAATCTAAAAGGCAAATTCTCAGATCAGAGTTTCAGTTTAGCCGGATCTTGTTCATTCACAGACAAAAAACGCTTGCGTTCTTGCTGAAGCAATTGCACCAATTTACGCCTGTCCAATAAAGTCCATGAAACCAAGTTTCTCTTTCTCCGTGTTCTCTTAAGCAGTTTTTAAAAATCACCTGGCTCTTTGGAGGGCTGCTGACTTAGATTCCTGGCTGATAGATAGCATCTGGTAATTGAATCTTGCTATTGTTTTACCCCAGGGATTACCCTGTGATTTGATTTAATTTTAAAGGGACGAATCAAGCTCTGATTAAATAACATGATTCTGAATGCCTCTAGATTGCCTGCTTCTCAACTGAACACAAAGTTTCAACCTGTTCCTCCAGGTAGAAACAGGGAAACCAAAAATATTAAAATCTTATGAGATGCTGTTTCCTGACAGTTCACATCTCAGGCTTTGGCTCTCGTAGGTCATTTATTTATATATCTGTGGCGTCCTGCGCAAGCAGCTTCTCCAAGAGATTTGGTCCTGAGATACAATAGCAAGCCTAAGAAAATACAGTAAATTATGGAAAGTTAGCAGCCTTGTTTGTGGTGTACGTGTGAAGTAAAACATCTCTGTGTGGTTTCCATGGGAAAGCTCTCTTGTTTTTTGCTTAAAGAGGCATTCAAGTGTGCATAAATGGAGTCTTTAAAGAACATGCAGACTCTAAGCCTGGGATTTTATGAAGGAATACTGTAAATAAAGCTTGTTTGTTTATACAAATTAAGTTCAGTTCTTAGATGCACTCTAGCCCAATTTCTGTCTGACCCAGTGCTGCTCTTTAGACTTAGGTTTTACTTCAGGGAGAGCAAGTCAGGACTCAGTTTACATTGTTATCCTACATAAATCCACCTACTCGTCATTAAAAATAGCAAGAGGATGGGAAAACTGGTATCACAATAAAAAGTTGTTCCGAGGCGTCGTATTCTTCTTTCAAGGTGGCCGATAAAACTGGTTTCTGAGTTGTTAATGTCCCTGGTCGTTCACTGGTGTTTGCTGAATGTGTTGTTAATTTTACATACCCCTCAGGGCTCTGTAAGGGTGAAAGCTTAAAAGGGCTCAAGTGCTCTCAGCTGTATATTGGCTGTTGCTCTGTCATAAGGTCAAGTGCAGTTTAAGATTATATGCAGAAACATCTTGTGTGAGCTGCGTATGTACCACCAGCGCGGCTGCAGCTATGGTTCGTGCTTCGCACAAGCATGCTGTGATTAGAACGTGTCAGGCTGGTGCAGTGGGCTGTAGCATTCTCAGCCTTGGCCATGCCTTTTCTTTGAATATCATCAAATTAGAAGGTGTGTATCATGTAGAGATACTAGTTGCTGTTTGGCTGAAGTGATTGCTTGAAGCTTTGATGGTCCCTGCTAAGGAGAGGAAATATGTCTTTTGGTCTAATGAAAAGATACTTGAAAAAAGGGGACAACTTTTGTGTTGCTAGTTAGAGAAACTCAGTTGTAATATGGCAAACACTTGCTGTTGTACTCAGTAAATTCTGAGTGCCCTAGTGATTAATTTTTTACATTGACCAGTTTTACAACTTACACATTTTTTATGACTAAGTCAGGATTCTTTCACATTTTAGGCAAAATATGTATTACTACATTTTGGATTCTTTTCAATTAACAAGTTTCTTTATTTCCATGAAACTTCTGCTACCTTGAATCTCACTGTGAAGTTTACATGTAAACATTGCAGCTATTTTATAAGCTTCTCTCCTTGATAGGTGTAATTAAGGTAATAAAACATTTGTTATTATTTGGTTTGTATTTCAGTATTTTTCCTGCTTACTTATGAATGTAGCAAATTATATTTGCATGTATTATGTGATTTTCATACACATTAGGCATTTTTGAAGAGCAGATTTCCAAAAACCAACTTATTTGCATTTACATGTACTCTCTTCACAAGGGTTTTTTCATGACTGTCTTTGACTCTGTTGCACATTACCTTAAACTTAAAAAGAAACTTAGAAACATTAGAGTAGAAAAAGTAAGAAGCAGAAAACATTGGGCCATCATCCTTCCTGAGGTGTGTGTGTGTGCATTTAAATATTTAAAAGGCTTAGAAGTTTCTCCCAGGAGGAGGGCAGTGAGCCAGGCGTAGGTATAAACTAAGGGCTGAGGTGCTGAGCTGGGCCACTTGTTTAAGTCTTTGGGTTTTGATAGACTTGCATCAGAAACTGAACAAAAGTGTCTTCTTTCACTGAAATCAAGTAAGGCTGATGTTTTGTTGCCACCGATGGGTTCTTTTTCTGAACACAAAAGGGCATTGCAATGTGCTGTGACAGCCATAGCAAGAAGAGATGTGGCGACCCAGCCGTGTGAAGGTTATGAAGAAGTTAATTTGATTTTGTAGACCATGAAATCAAAATTCTGATTTTCTGTGGGAGTGTCAGAATTACATGTGAAAAGTAGAAAGGCACGTGGAAAAAACCTATATTTTGTTAAAATACTTAATGATTGCATTTGTCCTTGTAGTGTGTTCTGTAGATGATTTACCAGCAAACCTTAATACTAAAATTATTTTGATTGTAAGATGTTATAGGTAAAGTAGATACCCCCTTTAATTAGAATTTTCCCACGATATTATTTTGGTTTTATATTGTTCCTCTGCATACACTACAGAGTACAGTGCATAGACATGATAGCTGCACTTCTTGAATCGTATTTTTCATGTACTTTTCTTTAAATGTCTCCTTGGATAATTAAGTCTGACTCTTAAGTTATGGTATGTTAGTTTCTGACAGGTGCCTGCCAGGGATCTTCAGTGCTGTCATGCATTATGTGGATTTCAGCCAAGACAGAAGGGCCTGGGTATTTGTTTCTGGTCACTTCTCATTAGAGCTTTGACTGTGGGAAAAGAAAAACAACTATTTAAAGATGAGGACTATAGGTGCTATAGGAAGTGCATAGAAATAAAATCTGTTAGGCAACTAGTTTTTCTGTGGTTTTATATAGACACTTTGTATATGTGTGAACTGTACATATGTGCGTTTCAATATATAGTAAATATTCTTCCTGCAAAGAAGGATTCTCATATATTGAGAAAAGCACAGAAGAAAT